TAACGGTGATTCCTCAGAGCTCCTTGGACTCCCATCCCGTTGTTTTTCTGCTGACTTCCCTCTTCCCTCCTGTGCGTCAGCTGTCTCTCCTCCCTTAGGCTCACCCTGAAACACCTCCTCTCTCTCACCCCAGCCTGCCCCCTCTCCCGTGTCCCCCCCACCATACTCTTCTGTTGCGCAGGCGGGTGTGGGCCATCTTCTCCCTCGGTTCTGCTGTCATCACCCCAGTGGAGGACGCTGCTGATCACGCCTGTTACTATGCATTTACTGGTCCCCTAACTGACCTCCTCAGCACCGTCCTCCACCCCACCCTCCCCTCGCTTAGTCTCTGCCAGCCAACTGTCCAGCACACTGCTCCCGTCGTGCAGCACAGCTGTGTGGAGGGGTTCTTGGAGTGCCACGGCAAACTCGCAAGAGTGGTTTTGAGGGAATCCTATCTGTTGAAACACTACCCCTGAATGGTTTGGGCCTAACCACTTAAGGAACTCTGGTGGGGGTTTTTTTGGCCTCTGGTTGCCATGAACCAAGACAATCTGAGACTCTGCCATGTCACCTTCAACCAGTCACTTCACTCTGGGTCCCAAGTTCCCCCGTCCACGCACGAGGTGGTGGGAGAAGACGATCTCTTTGTTTGCACGTGTATATACGCAAGGTCAGGCCCTGGCCTCCCCTCTGCAGCCTCCACCCCCACCCAGGGCTGACCCGGCCTGCGGCCTGTCTTTCCCTCTGCCTCTCCCAGCACTCCACCTCCAGCCTCCGTCAGTGCCCTCCCCTGGGTGAGCCATTGCATTGCCTCCAGGGAGCCCTCCCTTCCCACACAGCACACAGTCAGCACTTGCCCCTGCCATTATTCATATGGCACTTGTGTCACTGGGCACGCGTCGGTCCTGGTCTAGACCAGAGGAGTTACAGTTGGCTGGGTGCCCACTGTGCGCGGAGGGGCCGTGTCTTTGCCGCCTTTGTGGTGACAGCCTTGCCTGTGATTTACCTGCGGACTCCCCATCTTCCGAAGCAAGCCCACAAAGGAGTGCCTTCTCTGCTGGAGGAGGTCCCAGGCCTCAGGCAGTAGGGGCCCCCATTCACTCCTGGGCCCGGCTTACCTCCCGCAGCACTGCAATGGCGTCGACTGGCGTCAGAAGTTGGACTCTCAGCGAGGGGCTGTCATTGCCACCGAGCTGAAGAACAACAGCTACAAGTTGGCCCGATGGACGTGCTGTGCTTTGCTGGCCGGATCAGAGTATCTCAAGCTTGGGTGAGATTCGGGTCCGGGGGTCCTGAATTCATCTGCTGCAAGGAGGGGTCTGCGGGCTGGGCTCGCCTCTCCCCTCTCCCTTGGGAAGAACTGCTCCTGGTCCCAGGTGTTGCTGTGCCTCTGTGCGGGCCGCCCCCACCACAAATGCCCCGTCTCCCCCCTGCTAGTTACGTGTCCCGGTACCACGTGAAAGATTCCTCGCGCCACGTCATCCTGGGCACCCAGCAGTTCAAGCCCAATGAGTTTGCCAGCCAGATCAACCTGAGCGTGGAGAACGCCTGGGGCATCCTGCGCTGCGTCATCGACATCTGCATGAAGCTGGAGGAGGGCAAGTACCTCATCCTCAAGGACCCCAACAAGCAGGTCATCCGCGTCTACAGCCTGCCCGACGGCACGTTCAGCTCCGATGAGGACGATGAGGATGAAGAGGAGGAGGAGGAGGAGGAGGAAGGTGTGTAGCAGGCCTCTTTCTGAAGTCTAGACTTAGCTGAGGCTAGCTAGGGACCGAGCTCTATAGCCACCCTTCTCTCTGGAGCCCTGATGTGGAACTTCCTGAGAGTTCTCTGAGACTAGACTTCGGAGCAGCCTTCACTCTGGAGCCAGGCACTGCTTCAAGCACCTCGAAATCATATGAGGGGCCCGGAGGGGAGAGGGACCTTCTAGAGGCTAGGGTGAGGAAGAAGCATTGAGGGAAAGGCAATGGAAGGGTTCGCCCATGGTCTGAAGGAGCAAAGATGCGCTGGGCTAGTTACATGGGCCCCAGGCTGCCTCTGCTGCTTCATTCACCACCAGCTGGTGACTGAAGGGAATTCCTTAGCCCCATGATGATCCGAAAGGCTTACCTTCCGAGGGGAGCTGGTGAAAATCACAAGCACTCACCAGTGTGACATGGCTCCTTTTTCTAACGTTTTGTGTCTTTCAGAGGAAGAAACTTAAACCAGACGGTGATGTGAAGCTGGAGTTTGTGATTCCACTGAGCCTAGAAGGGCTTTGGATGCTCAGTGGACTGCTGGCCTGATTCTTGCTGTCTGAAGTTTGACGGTGGAATAAAGTATAACTATTTAGTCTCTTACCTTCGTCATGTGCTTACGTTGATCGGCAGCCCCTCTTCCTTCCCCCAGTAGCTCTTGGGCGAGGGAGGGTGAGATACAGCCGTGTTCTGTCTGGAGTTCAGAATCAGGGCTCCTTTATTTGTTCTTGAGCGTTACTCATTTTACACTCCTGTTAGGGGGTGAATGTCCTAGATGTTTTTGTTCTTGGAACTGCGTGATATGATCCTTTGCTGGGGATGGCTGTAGGTTGTGAGGCACATTGTGGAGGTCCCCACAAGAGGTCCGTTTCCACTGGCAGGGGTGCCTGCTGGCTGTGTGCCAGACCCAGCTGCTGCCTTCAGAGACACAAATCACTAGTAAAAGGGAAAGCAGGGCACAGTCTTTTAAGGTTGAGGTGGGTATGCTTCATGTGAAGGAGACTGCCCCAGAAGATTCTGATGGATGTTCCACTTGGTGGTGATCACTGTTTTGTAAATTGTTTTCAAGCTTGGTTTAGGCTGGGGACCGAGTCCCAAGCCAGCATCCTCAAAGCAGCGTGTCGTAAGTCAGCTACAGAACGCTCAGGATGTATAAACTTGTTACAAGTGGGTAGTGTTCTATTCTGGATGGTTTGAAGTAATTACCCCACCAGGTATTATACTAAGCTTTCTATAAATACCTCATCTGAGCCTGACCCAGAACTGGAATGCTGGTCAAAGTGGTGTCATTGTACTGATGAGGAAACAGGCTCAGCTCATTTTGAGTAACATTCCTGAAGTTACTATTTTAATCAAAATAATTGAGCCTCAGGGGCGCCTGGGTGGCTCAGTCAGTTAAGCATCTGCCTTTGGCTTAGGTCATGATGTCAGTGTCCTAGGACTGAGACCCATTATCAGGCTCCCTACTCAGTGGGAAGTCTGCTTGTCCCTCTGCTTCTGCCCTTCCCCCTGCTCGTGCTCGCTCTCTCAAATAAATAAAACTTTAAAAAATAATAATGAGCCTCAGAAAGCAAACGAACACTGGTTTTCCTAAAGTTAGCTAGGGCATGCAACATGCCTCTTGGGGAGTCTTCAAGATAGATTATTAAAAAGCATACGTTGAAGTACAGTGACAAGTGCCATGGGGTTTCAGAGTTGGGCCTGGGCCTCACCAAACTGCCTCTTGCAGACCCATGGTGCAGTCCAGCAGGATTATATGGGATGAATGGGCAGGTGGAAGTCAGCTTCAGCCTTGGGCCCTAAAAAGTTTGCACCAGCTTCCACTTCCTTCGTTTATTTTATCCCCTACTTCACCCGTCCTGCTTGGGGCCATCAAGCTAATGGCTTCAGTCCTGACTCAAACCTTCCACCGCATCCCCCTGCCTGTCAGCCCACTGTCAAGGCCCTGCCACACTTTATCAGTCCTGACTTTACTCACCAAATAAGACCAACAACTAATTCAGGTACTTAATTATTTGCCAGCACTCATTCTCACATCTTCACAACTGAGAAGTAGACCTTTTTATTTTTGGTAAGGTACTTTGCATAGCCTGTCTGGTTTCACAGTTTATTCAACAAATGCTTCCTGATGGCTTGCTGTATGCCAGATCCTGGAGGAAGCCCCGAGGTCACCAGAATTATGATCATTTCTGCTCTATGGACCTTTTCTCTGATTGCAGATACAGGCTATAAATAGGTAAGTGGCACTCCTTAGTGGATACTTTGTTTGAGAGGTCAGGGAAGACTTCTCTAGAGGTCCCAGGGACAATTTTTAATAAAAAGAAGCTCCAGCCATGCAGTTAGACCATCGAGTTCTTTCCACACCAGGCATGGCTGCCTTCCATGAGAACCCTCAGCCCCATCTCACTGGACTTCTTAATGCCCCTTGAAGTTTCCTGTACCTCTCTCAAAATGGCATACATTCTGCCCCTGTAAATCTAAAGCAGGGTCCACATTCCACCTGTGCAAAGCCAGCCTCGATCATCCAGTTCACCTGAACGGTGGCTCAGGATCATCCTCCTGCCATTCACGTTCCCTCTGCTGCAGCCAAACCAGTTGCTGGGCATGAGCAGCGGGTTTGTGTCTACACTGGCCTATCATGGGCCACTTTGTTTACAACATTACCAAGAATGCAAAACATGACGAGTAAACTTTTTGGAAAGAGCTCATAATTTGGCATAAGCGGAGCAAGGGACTAATTCCAGGTTCCACTTAACCGTTTGGTCTCAGGCAAATCACTGCTAAACTTCCATTTGGCCAGTGACGACAGAATGCGGGGAAGAGAATCGCCTACCTCTCCTGGTTGGTGAGACAGCCAGCCAGTCATGCATGTTACTTAGCAAACAACAGACTGCATCACTGTAGCAAACACCTGTTAGCTGCTTTTTTTTGTCCTGACGTCGACCTGGTTTCCAGTCCCCCAAAACTGGGTAGCCAACTAGTGTCTGGCTACGTTCATGGTGGAGTGTAAGACCAAAGTCATCTGCTCCCGTGCTTCCCCTGCACGTGGAGAGGCACAGCTTTAACACAAGAGCCCTGCGCCCCAGCGCGACCCGATCCCCAGCGGCGCCTGCCCCTCCGGCCCCCGGGCAGCACGTGCGTGCCTGTCCCGCGCCGCCAGGAGCCCGCGGCCGCCCCGCCCCTCCCGGCATACCGCGCGCCGCGCACGTGACCCCGCCCCCTGCCATTGGCCGGGCGGGAGGGGCGGGAGGGGCGGGAGGGGCGGGGCCGCCGCGGCGCTGGCGGGCCGAGCGCGGCCGCAGTCGACTGCGGGCTGTCTCCAGCGCGGCTGGGAGGTCCGCGCTCCGTGCCGAGAGGCAGGCGCTGCAGGCGTGGGCTCCGCGCACGCGCGGGGAGCGGCCCCCGGAGAGCGCGCGCCGGCAGGAGTGTGGCCTTGCGTCGCGTGGCGGCAGGTGTGCTGGGCCATCCCTGTCACGTGATCGAGGAGCCCGGCGCTCCGGGCACCTGGCGGGGGCGTGGCCCGGAGGCCACACCTCCTTCGGTCTCGAAGGCGGGGCGGGGCCTAAGAGACCGGCCCCTCGAGGGTCTAAGCTGGGGAGGGCTCGGGAAGGGTGTTGGGCACCCCTTAAATTAGGGGAAGAGTGGGGGAACACCCACCCTCGTGCCACCATGGCAGTAAGAACGGGGGTGGCGCTCCTGGGAACCGAGGCCCTGGAGGAGATGGAGGCGTTCGGATTTCCTGGGGGGAGCCCCAGATCCGGGCTTGAAAGGATGGGGGCAGGCAGATGAGCTCAGAGGACCTTGGGTTCCGGTCCCGGCTCGACCTCAGATTGCGGTGAGCAGCCAGGCGAGCCCCTGCCCCTCTCCCATCTCCCCGGGCCTCGAGGGGCCATCCGGGGTGCCAGGCCTCACATCCGTGGTCTGCCGCAGGATGGGCTTCTCGGCCGCGGCCCGGCTGTGGGGCCCGCCAGGGCTACTCCTGACCTTCGCCCTCCACCCGGCTCTGTGCCTGCGCGCGGCCCAGACCTCGGCGCCCCCTCACCGGGACTACTGCGTCCTGGGCGCCGGGCCCGCGGGCCTGCAGATGGCCTACTTCCTGCAGCGGGCCGGGAGGGACTACGCGGTGTTCGAGCGCGCCCCGCGGCCCGGCAGCTTCTTCACGCGCTACCCGCGCCACCGCAAGCTCATCAGCATCAACAAGCGGCACACGGGCAAGGCCAACGCCGAGTTCAACCTGCGCCACGACTGGAACTCTCTGCTCAGCCACGACCCCGGGCTGCTCTTCAGACACTACTCCCGCGCCTACTTCCCCGACGCGGGCGACATGGTGCGCTACCTGGGCGACTTCGCAGACCGGCTGGGGCTCCACGTGCTGTACAACACGACCATTGCCCACGTCACTCTGCACAAGGACCGGCAGGCCTGGAACGGCCATTACTTCATCCTGACGGACCGGAAGGGTCACGCACACCGGTGCGGGTAAGGAACCCATCCCAGAGCCGACCTGCTGGCACCCCTTGGTCGGCGGTACGTGGGGAAGAAATGAGAGAGTAATTTTTTTTTTTTAGACATTTTATCCATTTGTCATGTTCACTGTGACACCAACCTTGGGTATTTGGCATCGTCTAGCTTAGGTACCCGCAAAGCCCTTTCTGAAGAGCATCTCCTAGAACTAGTGTTCCTCAGAAGACATTCCGGGAAAAGTGTCCAGCAAGTGTTAGATGGGCTCCGTGGGGTTTCAGACCTGAACTAGAGCGGGAGGCCCCACAGGCAGGGCTGCCAGCAATCAGTTTTAGCTAGCTTTGGCTTGGGAGAAAGCTTAATGTCGTGTAATCGGCCCAAACTCAGAGTCACACACTGTACTGCCCTGATTCAGCCCTCACGAGGACCCTGGGGGCAGTTCCCTGACCCTCATTTTACAGATGAAGAGCCGAGGCCCAGAGAAGTTGAGTCACTGGTGCTGTTGTCACACGGCCTGAGCCTGTGTCTTCCTGACCCCGAAGCCTGTGCCCTTTCTGCTACACCAGACTGCCTGTCCCTTCCCGGCTCTGGGGCTGCCACTTGGCTCCAGGCAAGTGCCGGAGTTCATCTTCTCAGGCCCTTCGCCGGAGGCCCAGGGAAAGAAGGGCTCCGTCAGCTTGGGAGCCTTGCGTTTTAGACAGTCGGGCAACAGCATAAGGGATTCAGATCTCAGCTGGGTGGGCAAGGGTGAGAAAACAAGGAGCCACAGGGCCTGCGATGTCTTCTCGGGCTGTGCAGTTCTGTTTTCAAAACCGCCTGTAATCAAACCATCCTGCGGGCCGGCGGGAGCCTGCTCCCGGCTGCCCCGAACAGGAAAGTAATGCCCACCAGCATGAATCACGCCCACCCGGGTTCGGATTCTGGCTCTGCTGTCGTAGGAGCTTGGGAGGCCAGGGGCCCACAGGGCCTGTGTCTCCTCACCTGTAAAGCAGGTCAAATAACACCAACTCAGGGCTTCTGTAGGCAATGAAATGATGCACGAAACACTGGGTAGGGGCCTGAGACAGAATTCCTGCTCGGCAGTCCCCTGCATCTGCCCAGCCGTCAGAAAGGGGAAAGTGGACCGCCAAGTTTCATTTTCACCACTGAGGGCCACACTTGGCCTAACTGCTGTGTTCAACATTAGGGGAATTGTTCAAGTTCTCATGTGTCCCCTTCTCAGAGAGTTGGACTCATTCTTGTGTTTGGCATCATCCCAGTACGGGGTAAAGGGAACCGTCCACTGGAGTGGGCACGGGAGGGGCAAGGGTGAAGTCTCTCGGATACTTTGGGATAGGTCAGTAAACGGATGAATGAAGGGATGTTCTCCTGTGGATTGTTTAGGAGCCAGCAGCCTGGGGGAGGCGGGCCAGCCAGGCAGCAGGGGCAGGGAGTGAGTTTCACGTCGTGGTCTTCCAGCTCAGAAACTAAGCCGTCTTCCGTCTGTCCCTTCCCTGCAGCGTGCTTTTTGTGGCCACCGGTTTGTCAGTCCCCAACCAGGTTGACTTCCCTGGCTCCGAATACGTGGAGGGGTACGAGTCTGTGTCCGTGGACCCCAAGGACTTCGAGGGTCAGAATGTGCTGATCCTGGGGCGTGGGAACTCTGCCTTCGAGACAGCAGAGAACATCTTGGGTGTCACCAACTTTATCCACATGCTGAGCCGCTCCCGGGTCCGACTGTCATGGGCCACCCACTACGTAGGAGACCTCAGGTACGCTATGAGCTGCTCATGGATTCCATACCACCAGCCCCCTTGAGAGCCATTCCTGACCCCACTGGAACAAGTGCCCCTTCCTCTGAATCTCCTTGTGCCCCGTTCAGACTCCTTTCTCTCTCCTGGTGTTCCCCTCGGGCCCCAGGGCCATCAACAATGGCCTGCTGGACACCTACCAGCTGAAGTCCTTGGATGGGTTGCTTGAGTCTGACCTGACGGATCTGGCTGTCGTGAAGGACCGCGAGGGCAAGTTCCACGTCACCCTGAAGTTCTTCCTGGAGGAAGGCAACCAGAGTGCCGACGCCATCACCCTCCCCCAGGACGACAACGACAACTTTGCCATGCGTGTGGCCTACGACCGGGTCATCCGCTGTCTGGGCTGGAACTTCGACTTCTCCATTTTCAACGAGTGAGTCCACACAGGGGTGGAGCTGGGGTCACTTCGTGAACCCCTTCTGACACGTCCCCAGGGGCAGAGAGTCACCACCCTGTGGGCTAGCGGCAGGGCTTTCGGGACGGCGCCGTCAGAGTGGACATGGGTGCTGCCGGGTCCCCTGCCCAGGACGTGAGCTCGCTGTCCTCACAAGGATGGGCGGCCCAGAGGCCCTCCATCCTGGAGCACCAGCAACAGTGGGTCTTCATCTGCGTCGTGATCTTCCACCCGAGAGACGGGAAAGGGGGGCTCAGGCAGAGTAAGTACTCGGCATATACTATATGCTTCATAAAATGGTAGCCGCCGACTTCACTTATAATTGCGAGTTCGACTGCTTTGCTTGAGATGTTGCTGCCCCAGGTACCTTGGCAAGGCTTGGTATCAAAGAATCCGTCCAGTGTCTCACTTCCCCTGGCCAAGGCGCAGGCAGACAAGGAGAAACTGGAGGGCCTGAAGCAGATGCCCGCCCAGCAGGTCCCCCGGGCCTGGTCGGAGCCCAGAGCCTAGCCTCAAGTCAGGCTCAAATCCTGGCTCTGTCCCTGACCCACCACGTCTTCACCCTGAGCCTCATACCCGGCTGTTAAACAGAGATCTTCATACCCGGCTCCTAGGGTCCTGGTGTGGTTTTAACACAATAAGCAATATAAAGCACGTACGTACGCTTAGCTCAGTGAGGAGCACGTAGTAAGCGTTTCATACACAGCAGTGATTTTATTAACAACCCCTTCTACTCACAGGTCCCTCCGACTGTCTTCCGGGGGTGAGCTCAGCAAGAAGTACCCGCTGGTCAAAGCTAGCTATGAGTCCAAAGGAAGCCGGGGCCTCTTTGTGCTGGGCACCGCCAGCCACTCTGTGGATTACCGGAAGTCTGCCGGGGGCTTCATCCATGGATTCCGATACACAGGTGAGCCCGGCGGAGAGAACCATCCCCAGGCTTTGTAAACATAACCTGATCTGCAGCAGCCTTCATGGGAGTGCTTGTCGGTAGTCGATTGTCTTAAATTCTGTCTGGGACAGAGGGCAACAGGTCTTCGTGGGCTGGGGATAGATCTAGAAAAGCGTCAGGTAAGGTGTGAAAGCAAGTACATCTAGGGGTGGCATATTACATGCTCAAGCCCTGTGCCAGTCAAGCAGCAGGTATTGGCAAGAAGGCAGAGCTGGAGGAATGCTCGTGGGGGTTCCTCCCCGGCGGGGTGGTCTAGAGGTGAGGCTTCGTGACCTCTCCGTAAGCCTCTTGGACGGCGTGGCATCAGAGGCGTAAATGAGGTGAACTCTTCGCCTTCGTGGGGCTGTCTTAAGGACAAACTAAGATAATACCTAGGAACCTTGTAGCTACGAAGCATCACGCACAGATTCTTTGGGTACCCACATATTTCAATTAAAATTACAGTTGGATTACATCAGTTCTGAGGGCATAAATGTTCTGCACTCCAGGCAGGCTGCTGGGTGGGCGAGTGTTAACAAGGGCCAGTTAGTTGATTTTGCCACAAACACCAGAAGCACCCTGCGTCCTGCATCCCATCAGTTCTGTATTTAATTTGATGATGCCATTAGCTTAATGCTCATTTTTGCATTTTACTGTCCTTCCAGTTTGGCAGGGGAAAGTAGCCATGTTTGATTTCCAGATGATATATTTTATGTCCCATGCATGTGGTCAGAGAAGGAAACCAGAGAGAGAGTATTAGCTGTCTGTAAACCAGGACATCCACATATTGAATACACACACACACACACATCCACATATCGAATACACACACACACACACACACCCTGGAATGGAAGAGTCTGTCCCTTTAGCTGTGTCTCCCCAGTAAGAAATCCGCAGATCCTGTCATTTCCGCTCCATTATTACTGATGTAATCCAACTGTAATTTTCATTGAAATATGTGGGTACTAGGGCACAGAGAACTTAAGTAACTTCCCGAAAGTCCCCCAGCCAGTGGATGGCAGAGGGTAATTTGAATCCACACGTGTCTGACCCTAAAGCTCATAGCCAACCACTAAGCTTCGGGCAGGTGGGGCAACAGTCCTGGGTGTTTAGGCACCGGCCGCTGTGTGGTCACCACCACGAGCCGAGCGGAGGGCCCTGCTGGGGGAGGGCTGGTGTGGCTGTGCACATCCCGCTCCTCCTGCTCCAACCTGAGAAACCGGTCCCAGGGCAGACCAGAAGCATTCAGTAAGGCAGAGGAAAGCCAAAAGAAGAGAAAGTACGAAGGACGCAGACCATAACCGCATGGACGGTTATTCCGAACGCCCAGCCCATCTGTCCCCCTGCTGTATCTGTCAGCCCACCGCCTCCATATCCTGACCCACAGCTTCTTCGTCTCTCCTGACTGGTCTTCCTACCACTGCAGGTCTCTCTGGCTTCCCATCCAGCCGCTGCACAGTCCCCGCCGAAACACCTTTTCCTGAAACAACAAAATCTTGCCTTTCCTGTGCTTACAGCTTAAGCATCTCTCCGCAGCTCCCCACCTCCCCTGCAAGAGCTGCAGCTCCTCGGCGTGCCATTCCAAGCTCTGCCAGGCCCGGGCCAGCTCACCTTTCCAGCCTGGGCCCTCGCCTGCTCCCCAGAATGGGCCAGGCTCTCTCGAGATGGTAGCCCCTTTCGTCAGGGCCCCCTCCCCACGCTCCACTAGCTGTGGTGTTCCTCGACCCTGTGCAGAGGGATAGCTGTCGCTTTTCTGCCCTTAGGTCACTCGGACTCCGTGACAGTTCGGATGCAGGCAGTGAAGGAGAGAGGGCGCTGAAAGGGTCTCCTGCTGGGGGTCTGGGAGAAAGAGGAACTGTGGGCAGGGGAGCGGGGTGAGAGGGAGGCATGGGGTCCGGGGCTGGCAGAGCAGCTGGGAGAGGTCCTGTGGGTGCCTGGAGCCAGAGCTGGCCCCGTCATCCCTGCAGCTACCCTCCGGGGCTGCTTTCGCCCCGGAAGCAGAACTGAGTAGTGTGACCGACCAGGCAGCGAAGCCCAGAACACTGTCCATCCAGCCCTTAGTAGGAAGCTTTCGCTGACCCCACTCCAAAGGCATCCTCTTGGCGCCACACAGGCAACCGTGCCTTGAGTTCCAAGAGGTCCATGGGGACTGGACGTGTGTCCGGTGGTGAAAGATCAAATCTTAAGGGCAGCATGCTGTCCCTCCCTCTGGCCTGATTTCAGTGCGTGCTGTTCACCGCCTGCTGGAGCATCGCCACCACGACGTCGCCTGGCCCTCCACCCAGCACCCCATCTCACAGCTGACCAGCTCCATCGTCCGACGCGTGAACGAGGCTTCTGGGCTCTACCAGATGTTCGGTGTGCTGGCCGACGTGGTCCTATTAAAGGAGTGAGTAGCCTGGCTTCACCATTCACCCTGTCCTAGTTCTTCTCTGCCTGTTCCAGGTGTGGAGTGGCCCCGTGCTTCCCTCCTAAGGTGAAGCCTGCATGGGGGGTGGGGGGGTAGGGAAGATCGATTCTGGGGGAAAACGTCAGGGAAATCGATACCATGGGCTCCACAGGCAGGCAGACAGGCCTGGGTGTGCATCCCAGCTCTGTCACTTTCTACCTGGGTGACCTAGGCCAAGTCCCTCAGCCTCTCTGAGCCTTTCTCTCAGTGGCACAATGGGGATAATCACACCTTGCAGGCAGGAGTAAAGGTCACTGGTAGACCGCAGTTGGCACCAAGCGGATGAGCAGTAAACCACAGTGATGCATATCACCAGTGTGGATCGATGGGCTCCCTCGGGCCAGGACTGTGTTGGCTCCTTATCAATTAAGTGACAGGTGGCAGATCACAGGTGACACCCAGCAAAGCAGGGAGGGAGAAGGGCTGCAGGTGAGGGCGCTCCGAGGACAGGTGGCAGGTGAGAAGCAGGGGGGATCCCTCAGTCAGAGCGGGAGAAGCCTGACCCAAAGCCGGGGAGGGCCACACACATCAAGTTCAGGGACACGCAAGGAATTCACAGTGCCCAGCGCAAGATATCCCATCACCCTGACTCCTCTCTTCCATTCCCATCCTCCACATTCAGACTCTCCATAAACCCCGTAAGCTCTACCTGCAAATTATGTCAAGAATCTGACTGCCTCTCCCCAGTCCCAGTACTGCCACCTTGGTCCAGACGCCCAGCATCTCACCTGAACTAACTGCGGCCTCTCACCTTTGCCCTGTGGTCTGCTTTCCACACAGCGGCCTGGCGGTCCTCTCAAAACACAAATCACACACAGTCAGCTCTGCTCAGTACTCTCCAGGGGCCCTCAGGGCACATACGAGCCCTCCTCAACCTGCCCTCGAGCCCCTCTCCTGCCCCTCTGCCCAAGGCCCCTTCAGCCACATGGGCCTCCTTCCTGTCCCTCGAAGACACCAAGGCAGTCACTCCCTCCCAGGGCTTTTCTGTTACTGTTCTCTCGGCCTGGGTCACTCTTGCCCCAGATACGTTTCAGGTTGCTCAGAGTTTTCTGGAATCTGTCCCAATGGAAGCCAGGGCTCAGCTGTGACAGTAATGGTAAAGTGAGGTGCGTGGGGGTGACCAGAGGCCGTGCACTGTACGAGAGACACGTGCACACACCCGCACACGCCCCCCTCAGCTCTGCTGCCGCACTGAGGGTCACCCCCCCATTATGCCCAGGAACGCCGCGGCATTTGAGTACCTGGAGGAGTTCCCCATGCAGATGCTGGCCCAGCTGGAGACCATCACAGGAAGGAAGGCCAGGCATGGGCTCTTCGTCATCAACATGGAGTACGGCAGAAACTTCTCTGGCCCTGACAAGGACGTGTTCTTTTATGACCGGTCTGTGGGGCACACAGAAGATGCCTGGCAGTCTAACTTCCTCCATCCGGTCATCTATTACTACAGGCACCTCCCCACCGGTGAGCTGGGCCTCAACTGTCCCCCGAGCGCGGGCTTCCAGGAGCTGGGCGGGTCTCTCACCTGTCACACCTCCCCTCTCACACAACTCTCCCGGCTGACAGAGGACACTGGGGGACTCTGCCCAGAAACCGAATGGGGCAGAAGGTCCCGGAATAAGAAACAGTGTTCCCAGATTCTGGCGCATACCGTGACCTGGGCAGGCCACACATGGAGTGTCGTGACCTCCTCCAGGCGCCACACAGTAAGAGGGACCGTCTTGCTGTGTGTCTCCAAAGGAGGCCGAGCATGGAGGGGGAGGGGACCTGGAGACCGACTCTCAGAGGGAACGGGGAAAGGAGCTGGAAGTGGTCCACATGGGCCTGCTGCTGAAAAAGCACAGAAAAACTAGGCAGTGTTCTCAGGCTGTGCTTTCCTTGCTGTGTGGCCAGGGACCATTACTTGAACGCTCTGAGCCTGTGCTTCCTCATTTGAGAAATGGGGATAACAGTAGGATTGTGTGAGGATAAATGACATAAATAACACAGAATGTGGGGCGCCCGGCTGGCTCAGTCGGTGGGGCATGTGACTCTTGATCTTGAGGCTATGAGTTCAAGCCCCACTTTGTGTGCAGAGATTACTTAAAAAATAAATAAAAATCTTTAAGAAAAAAAAGGCACAGAACACCAGCACGGTACCTGGCACAGAGTAGCTACCAGTAGATGACCCTCCCCGCCCACCCCACCCCCCACCCCCCAACCCCCGGGGAACACGACTCCTGCTTCAGAGATTGAAGGGCTGTGACTTGGAAGATGATGCTCTAAAAACAAGCAGAGGTAGTATCAGTGACAGAAACGCAGGATTCTGTTCAGAATCAGAAGCAACTACTAGTCAAAGCTGTCCCACAGTGGAATGGGTCGCCCCTGAAGTCGAGTTTCCCGGTACCAGGATGGTTGAGTCATGGCTTCATGGCCGTCGGCCTGGGACGCCACAGAAGGGAGCCCACAGCAGGTGCGAAGCTGGACTAGGTGAGCTCTCAGGCCCCTTTCGATGCAGGGCCTCTGAGTGTCCTCACGGAAAGAGCAGTTTTGAAAAAGTCACAATGGACCTCAGTCCCTGTGTGCCTTGGAAAGACCCAGAGTGCGAGTGATCAGTCTTGGTTCCGCTTTCTGATCCCACAAGGAACAGATCTAGTCTCTTCCTCATGCCAGCCTTGCAAACACACAGATGGCTATTGAAGAGGCTGGCCGCTGCTCAGCACGGAGTGTGTCGGGAAAGCTGAACGCGCGGGAGCGAGGGAAGCACCTGGGATGTGTGGGAACCATGCTGTCCGTTCCAGGATGGGAAGCCCAGCCTCTGGGCTCTGACACAACTCCCCCCCTCTCCTCCCCACAGAGCAGGAGGTGAGGTTCCGCCCTGCTGACTGGGCCCTGCCTCGGCCCACTGCCATCCACCACATCGTGGAAGATTTCTTGACGGACTGGACCGCCCCGGTGGGGCACATCCTACCTCTGAGGCGCTTCTTGGAGAACTGTTTGGACACCGATTTGCGAAGCTTCTATGCAGGTAACCTAAGTTCCTAGAAGGGACTGAGCTGAAGGTTGAAAAAAGACCATAGATCCATGCCCTGTGGAGTTTTCAGGATTCATATCTAGAATCCACACCCAAGAATTCTGTTATCCACAAGATAGATGAGATGTTCACAGAGACCGTTCCCAGTACGGCACACCTAAAGTCGCTGAATAGAATGTCATTTTTAAAGAACTGGCAGGGAAAAAAAGGGAACTCTAAGAAAAGCATAAAGCCCTTGTTGGACGTGGGATATCTGCCAATCATCAGTAGTAGCTTAGAGCCTGGGTAACTGACCAGTACTTGGGGGTGGGAAGGTAAGGCTGGAGCAGGGTGGGAGGTCTGTTTAGAGACCTTCACTTAAGCTTAGATCTCAGTGACCCAAGTAGGAGACATAAAACATTCTCAAGAGGGAGATGGTGGAGACTCATGCTTTTGGCTCTGGGTAGAATAAGGGAAAATCTCCCCTGAGAATTTCTAACCACTAAGCCTCACTCATGTGAGTTTGAGGCCAAACTTCACACTGGTGTCAAAATCACAGAAGTAAATGCAAGTCTTCTGTGAAGAAACAAACTTTAGAGAAAGGGGCGCCTGGGTGACTCAGTTGGTTAAGCATCTGGTCACGATCCCAGGGTCCTGGGATTGAGCCCCACGTCAGGCTCCCTACTCAGTTGGAATCTGCTTCTCCCTCTGCCCCTCCCCTCTTCTTGTGCACTTTCTCTCTTTCTCTTCCTCAAGTAAGCAAAATCTTTTAAAAAATAAATAAAATAAAACTAGAGAAATACAAATATACATTTAAAAAAAAAAAACCTAGGGCTTGGGGTGCCTGGGTGGCTCCGTCAGTTAAGCGACCAACTCTTGGTTTCAGTTCGGGTCATGATCTCAGGGTCCTAGGATCCAGCCCTGCACTGGGCTCCATGCTCAGCATAGAGTCTGCTTGTCCCTCTGTTCCTCCTCCCACTCTCTCTCTCGCTCTCAAATAAATTAAAAAAAAACTAGGGCTCAAAAAGTTCCCACAGATAAAGTTCCGAGTGAGTTGGACCCACCCCTCACCCCCAAACAAAAAGCACTTAACACAAAAGGACATAAACTGCCACGAGGGAGCATTAGCAGAAACAACAAACTGCTGGATCAAGCCAAAAAGACTATGGGAATTGGAATGGTTACAAACAGAGGATACAAAGTCTGTCTAAAATATATAAGGAAATGGGCGCCTGGGTGGCTCAGTTGGTTAAGCAACTGCCTTGGGCTCAGGTCATGATCCTGGAGTCCCTGGATCGAGTCCCGCATCAGGCTCCCTGCTCAGCAGGGAGTCTGCTTCTCCCTCTGACCCTCCTCCCTCTCATGCTCTCTGTCTCTCATTCTCTCTGTCTCAAGTAAATAAATAAAATCTTTAAAAAAAATAAAATAAAATATATAAGGAAATGAAAAAGGAGATTACCAAAAATATAGTTGGGCAGCATTCAGAAAGACCCAAATAAAACTTCTGGAAATGAAAAAATGTGTAACTAGAAACTCAACCTAGGGGCGCCTTAGGGGCTCAGCCACTTAAGCATTCAACTTGTGATTTTGGCTCAGGTCATGATCTGAGGGTCCTGGGATCGAGCCCTGCATCAAGGCTCCACGCTCAGCAAGGAGTCTGCTTGGGATTCCCTCTCTCCCTCTGCCCCTCCCCCCTGCTCACATGTTGTCTTTCTCTAAAATAAGTAAATAAATCTAAAAAAGAAAAGGAACTCAACCTAAAGATAAAGTAGCACATTAGATAGAGACAAAGAGAGAATTGGTGAACTGGAAGGTAGCTCTGACAAGAGAAGTCTGAGGATCCGGAGGGAGAACTGACAGAAATAGGGCAAATTTCAGTCTTTTTTAAAACCCCCTGACTGCCTAGGATATCTACCCTTTTCTGTTCGGCAACCATATGTTGAACACCAGCTGTATATTAGGTACTATTCAAATCAAATCAGGTTCGAGATGGTCAGTCTCTGGCCTACAGGTTAGGGAGCAGGTGTCCTTGTCACCCCAGGCGACATCCTCAGTCAATTTGGAAATAAAATGCATATGTTAAGAGAGCTGGCTTAAAACAGTAGTGTAGGCTAATCGCCTAAATATATGTGGATGCTCCGAGGTAATTCATAGCACAGGGCTAAGCAACTTTGAAGTGCTAGCATTCTGCAGACTCAGCTATGACCGCACGCTTGCCTGGGAAATTGACATGGTGCAGGTCTAGAGATCTCAGCTACAACATCCCTGCCTGTTTCTCGAGGTTGCAGGAATACTCAAAGATGGCCATGCCCATTAGGGAGCGTGTCCCGCCCTGGGTTATGGCTGCCACAAATGCATCATCAGGCCCTAGAGCCTCCTGGCTCCCACTCCCTAGACCCTGCTCAACACTACAAGCCACTGAGCGTCCCTGCCTTCAGCTTGGAAGCGTCCTCCCAACTCAGGGCCAGCTGGCAGAGTGGGCTTTCCTCCACCCCCATAGCTGATGCGCAGCTGTTAGCGCTGGCCCCGGACTCGGCTGGGCTTCTCTGCCCCCCACCAGGCCCCTGCAGGAGGGGTGACATATGTCATCAGAAGGTGGTGCTTGCCAAGAGGCCACCTTGCTGCCGCTCTCCCACCTTCCCCCTGCACCTGCGGTCCTCCCTGCTCAGAGAGGCTTGTCATGGCCTGTTCTGCCAGGGGCTGTCTGGGCCAGAAGTCAGAAATGAAGTCAGAAGTACCTCTGTGTGTGGCTCCTTACAGCCTGTTCACCCACGCGGGCCTCACAACATCCTTTGTAACGTGCCCGGGTGTTTTGAGATAAAAGACTCAAGACAGTTTTTGGACGTTCGCTCCTTCCCATCCTGTCTCTAAATCCCTGAGAAGACTGAGCCCCTATCTCTTTCATCTGTTCTGTTTTTTAAGTCAAAGTTACATAAGCACTTAGCTAAAAGACTTTTTCTCACTTCCACCCTCAGTCCCGGAAGGAACTACTTCAGGCTCTTCTGGTGGTTTCTTCATATTTCTGAATAATAAATACCCACAGCTGTTTCCTGATAGAGCCAACTTGACCCATGCACCAGCTTTCTGCTGTTCACCAGTGTTATCTTTCCGCCCCCCACAGGGCTCACAACAGTGCTGTGCACAGAGTATTTGCAACCCAGAGATGGCTGAGGGAATAAAGCCATGCAGGCAGCTCTGAGCTCAAAACAGGACTGACCACCAAGCTCCCGGCCCCAGCCAGGCCAGCTTCCAGAAGAGAAGGCTGAGGGTCTGCTCCTCAGTGGCTGAGCTCCCAGTAGGACTGGCTCCCTGCAGAGCATCATGTTGGGCCCAGATCTCTGGGAGTTGAGTCATTTCTGTGGTTTGCTTTCCATTTGGGGCCTCATTCTTCCAGAATGTCAGGACACCCTCCTTTGAACTTCAGGGAAGGACGAGATCCTTGGCTACGCAGGTCAGATGTGAGATCCCCACAAAAGGCAGCTCCCCTGCTCAAGGGGTGGAGGGCCCTGGGTGAGGCCCCGGGGCATCGGCACCCTGGCCTCCCTCCTGCACCTCTCCCCATGCCTCTCTTACTCATTCATCTGCTTTTGCTTTTGTGTAGAATCCTGCTTCCTGTTCGCCCTAACACACCAGAAGCTGCCGCCCTTCTGCCAGCAGGGGTACCTGAGAATGCAGGGGCTCGTGGGGACTGAGACCCTCCGGCGGCACGGAGTGGAGAGCGGGCTCCTCCGGGACTACACCATTGTGGGCAGGCGCCGTGAGGACCAGGGCCAGGGGCCACTAAGTAGCTCTCGGGCCCCAGGGCCTCCGGTCCAGCCCCTCGACAGCAACAAGGAGGAGCTGTGACCACCAGGCGGCTCCCAGCCAGCCCTCTGTCGCACCGACGCATGGTTGCCAGAGACCACTCAGATTGTCACAGTGACCAAGGCCACTCTGAGGGGTGGCCATGCGGTGGTCTCCCCTCTGGTCTGGTCCTTGGATGCCTGAGAGGCGGGATCCCGAGAAGGGCATCCTCTGCCAGGTGGGAGCCGCCTTCCACAGCCAGGCTTGTCTGCAAGTGAACTGTCACTGGGCACCAGGCTGACTCGGGTCTGTCCCCATCAAGTGCCCAGCGGTCCCATTTCCTTCGGGTCTACTCGTCGGATGAACCAGGCGACCGTGTCACAGGTGGTGCTGTCCTCATCATCATAAGGGTTCATGGCAGGCACTTTAAACCGAAGCTCTAACATCCTCAACCCTCTGGGGCAGGTGGGACTGTCGCCTCTGATGAAGACATCAGCTCAGAGAGCTTAGGTGACTCCAAGCTTCTGCCAGGCATCCCTGTCTGGGTCCCCTGAGGCCTGGGCCACTCTGCCTCACCCTGCCCCCACCTCTGTTTCCAGAACCCAGGCTGGGCCAGCCCAGCTTATCATCACAGGCCCGGCTGCTATCACCAGGCAGAGACGGGACAGCTCCTGCAAAGCCACCTTATCTGCGCGGGTTTCTGCCTGAGCAGCAGGACTCAGAGCTGCACCCGCCCCAAGACACACTCCTTGACTTACATCGTCAGCATCTCTGTCTTCTCTCTCCTCCTCGGCACCGTCCCCTTGCCCTGCTCCTGCCCTCTGAAACCCTGAACAATGCCTTGCCTCTGGTCTGCCTGAGCAAGTTTTGTAAAACTGTCCCCAGGCTTACAGTGAGGATTCTTTCCGAGGGGACTGACCTGCTGTTTGTACAGGGAACCTGGCTCAGCGTGTGCAAGGAGGCATTTCTAGCTGCATTTGTGTGACAACGACAATGCCTCTTTCTGGTTGCCCTAGCTGTTCTCACGCTTCCTCCTCACCAGGCATCCACCCCCTTCCTACACTCCCATCAGGCACTTTCGTCCCAGGTAGGAGTAGGCCATGGAAAGCATTTGTACAGAAAATAATCACGGTGATTTTTTTCAAAGCCCAGGACCCTAGATGATTGCTTTTTCATCGGTTCTTACGGGTCCCTGTATCCACTCAGAATTCGAGGGACACGGGCTTTCTGGATCCACGGCCCTTTTCTGGAAACATCCTCTTGGCCTCAACCACCAGGCCCACTGCCTGTCTGCACACACCTCTCCCTCTAGTTGTGTGCAGTTAGAACAGTGACACTTGGCAGCCCGAGCCTGCTGGGGAGGTGCTTACCCTGTGACAATACTTGGCAGAGCTTCCCTGGGGATGGAAGCATCTAAAGATCCCCTAGTCCCAGACGGTTGGGTTCGCCATATTTCTTACAGATGATTTGTAACCCAGATTTGGGCCCCATTACTCACTCACCCCCACCGCTTCCGTTTCCAAGACCTTTTTTGAAACAAATCTTTTCCCTAGGACTGTTCCCATAATGTCAAACCCTGCTACACCCATCACACCTCACCAGCCACTGACGGCAGCTGAACGCCTATCAAAGTTCAAGGTGCTGCAACAAATAATTCACAGACGCCTAACTATGTGACATCTGCTGCTTCTCCCATCATCTGCCAAATTGTTCATTCCACCAAAATTTCAGCCAGCCTTGTTTGTGTTTCATAGGGCATGGCTCCATGGTTCAGCTGATTAGAGATGCCTTCCCTGGTATTCTCCTTGTAAAACTGGTCAGTAATTTGGAAAAGAAAGTAAATCTCATTTCAAATCCCTATTTCATACTTCAGAATTAATTCCAGAGCAATTTTTTTAAAGATTTTATTTATTTGATAGAGCTCAACTAAGCAGAGCAGCAGGCAGAGGGAGAGGAGACCAGGCTCCCCGCGGAGCAGGGAGCCTGATGCGGGGCTCGATCCCAGGACCTGGGATCATGACCTGAGCCGAAGGCAGATGCCTAACCGACTGAGCCACACAGGAGCCCCAATTCCAGAGCAACTTTTAAAAGCCATACAGAAACGGGAAGTGACAAGGGGGTGTTAGAGTAACAGTAAAAGGACTGTCCAACTTCAGAAGCGATGGGGTAATTCCCAGAGAAGAAGGTTTAACATTTCCAGTCTACTTAATTTTTTTAAGTTTTTATTTAAATTCCAGTTAGTTAACATACAGTGTGATATTAGTTTCAGGTGAAATTTTTCTCTTTTTTTTAAGTAATCTCTATACTCAATGTGGGCCTCAAACTCCCAACTCCAAGATCAAGCACTCCGCTGACCGAGCCAGCCAGGTACCCTTCACCCATACTTAACTAATGTGACCGTTTAAAGAAAAGGATAAAAATTAAAAGGCAGACAGCATGGGTAAAATAGTGACAGCAGAATACAATCCATAAAAATAAATAATATCTTTATTACTCAACCAATTGGAGTTAATGAGGGAAAAAAGGATAAGAAAATCATGGGACATTCACCCAATAAAATACTACACGGCTCTCAAAACCTCTCAGAGAAGGTGACAGACCATACCATAAAAATACATGTGTGACAAAGCCAAGCAAAAAGAAGCAGACCATGAGATTGTAGTTGTGAACTACTTATAACTATGTAAAACTAGAAAGCCACAGACGGGGGAGACTCTGGAAAGGACACCTCACAAAACGTCAACAGTAGTTATATTAGGTTTGTGAAGGCATTTTTCTTTCCTTTTCCTTTGTCCAAATTTGTGGTAACACTCCATAGTGAAATACATAAAAATACACAAAAATACATTTATTTTTTAAAAAATCATCTCTGCTCTTGGGATTTAAAATTGCTGGGGGCAAGAGGAGCGGGGAGCCCTCCCAGGGGACATGCTCTGCCCGGTCCCAGTGGTACCCATGGTTTCGTCCCTCTCCCAAGTCAGGAAGACACTGCACCCAGTGTCGAGGGGGAAGATGTGCCCCCCGCCAGAGAAGGGACTTTTAAGCGGTGTGTGCTCCTCTCCTACAGTCTTTGGATTGACTGACCCAGCACAACAGAGGACATCTCTGGAAGAATCTTCCCTCCCAAGAGACAGAAAATGAAAGATCAAAAATCCTTACTTTGTGGAGGTCTCCTGGGTGTAATCTCCAATCTGCTGTAGAGCCCCAAATTCTTTTTGTTCCCCAAATAAAAATGGGGGTATAGCTAAAGTCTGTCTAAAAAGTGAATCACCAAGTAGTGAATTTATCTGCTAAACTACTCCTAACATCTAATCATTTACTAACGTATTTACTATGTACCCAGGACTGTGCTGTGGTTTTAAAGATAGGCTCACAAATTCTTTGCTACTTCTCCTCCAAAGAGCTGGATGGAGCTCATTCCCCTCCTTGTTGGGTGAGAGCAGGACTGATTGATTCACTAATAGCAAACAGAGGAGACGTGACAGGATGTCATTTTCAAGATTAGGTTATAAAAAGACCGTAGCACTCACCCACCAAGAGGCTGTTCTCTCATCACTCACTCGGGTCATGTTGCAAAGACATGCAGGCACATATGGAGAGTTCCTTGTCCATGTGGCAAGGAACTAATACCTGCCAAGAGCCGTGTGCATAAGCCTAGAAGCAGATCCTACTCCTATCCAGCCTTTAGATGACTGCAGTGCTGGCCACCACCTTGAATGCAGCCTCATGAGAGGCCCCCAAACAGAACCACCCAGCGCAGCCACTCCCTGACTCCTGATCCACAGAACTTTGAGATGTCTGTTGTTTCACGCTGCTAAATTTTGGGGTGGGGGGGTGTTTTGTTACACAGCAATAGATAACTAATGCATGCACTAAATAGCTTACCTGCATTAATTTGTCACCACAACCCTAAGAGATAGATAATCCTATCCCCCATTCCTACCCTAGTCTCCCCATTCTTCTGCTGAGAACAATCACACAGCAGTTCTGTAGTGGTGAGGGGCTTCGAAAATCCACTTCCTTCGAGCCATCCTCTCAAAATTAAATCATTAAAGTAAACCACATTACCTATGGGTTTCCTTCTTGTGAACACTGGCTGACAAGAAATTAAGGGACCACACAATTCTCAAACCTAAGAAACAGGAAATAAAGTGTTTGTGGCCCCACCAGGTGGCAGGGAAATGTTAAACTGCTGATTACACAAAAACGTACCCTCAAAAAGAGTATTCATCCACTCCATCAACCAGACGTCCTGTGATTCAGGTTGGGGCAGGATGACTCAGATGGGACGAGGAAAGCTCTGGAGTCTGGAGCATCCACCCCCCGCCCAGGCTCCAGCCTCAGTTAGAATCCTCGGTTCCCTGACCAATTACAACATTATCCCCAAAAGCTAAATTGGATTCTTCCCTAGAAAAGAAACCCATAGGCTGCATCATTTCCCTGCAGATGCTAATTTTTTTTAATACAGTAAAAGTGCTGACTGGGGAAAGGTTTTTGTCAGACTGCAGGCTTTAAAGAAGCATTTAATTCAATCTGGCATCCAGACCGAATGTAAATCTACCACCAAGTGAAGCTGATGAGCAAATATATGAGAGGCTTTAGCCCAAGTATTTAATCCAAGTACATCACATGACTAATCCATCAACCCTGAAATAAAAAGTAACAGATGTTTTTAAGCAGGGAAGAAAAGACCAGCAGAATACCCTGTCTCACTCCTTTCTCAGTTCTGCATACTGATTTGCCTGCTCCTCTGGAGAAAGCCCCGAGTTTCGTGCTCATTGCAAAATGTTTCAGAAATCTGTCACCTGTTTTTTTCATTCTCTTGGCGATATTACGGTCTCAGACCAGTCTCTCAAGTCATTCCCAAATCATTATAAATTAATTAGATGCAGAAAAGTCTCACCACCAGGAAAAAAAAAAAAAAAAAAGATAATGCAATCTAGCTTCAAATGTTTACAGTGGGTTATAGCCCTTCGTTGTAGTTTAGAAATAAAGCAACTATGGGGCGCCTGGGTGGCTCAGATGGTTAAGCGTCTGCCTTCGGCTCAGGTCATGATCCAGGGTCCTGGGATCGAGTCCCGCATCGGGCTCCCTGCTAGGCGGGGAGCCTGCTTCTCCCTCTGCCTCTGCCTCTCTCTCTCTGACTCTCATGAATAAATAAAACATTTAAAAAAAAAAAAAAAAGAAAGAAAGAAAGCAACCATGAAAATGTATGAGATGAGCCCCCTTAACACTGGCTATGTTTCAGTTTCAAATAAGATGACTATCAGGAAAAGGAGAAGTGTCCAGAAGCCTGCACGACGAAGCACCATGGTACATTAAAGATGGCCACAAAGGTTATGACGATTCCTATCAAGATGTGAGGTCTTTGTCCCCTCGCCTTGAATTAGGGTGGCTTCCGGGACTGTTTTGACCAAAACCAGCCACACTGGTTTCTGGACAAAGGCCCGAGAAGACTGGCAACTTCCACTACTTCTCTGGGAACCCAGCCACCACACGGAGGAAGGCCCGTGTAGAGAGTAAGTGAGGCACGTGGCTGAGCTTCCAGCTAATAGCCCGAACCAACTTGTAGCCATGTGGGTGTGCCATCTTGGAAACAGATCCTCCAGGCCCAGCTGAGCTCCCCATGCAGGGCAGAGATGACCTATCCCAGCAGAGCCCCACCCAAATTTCATATCTGTGAGGAAAATGATTTTTTTTTAAAGATTTTATTTATTTATTTGAGAGAGAGAATGAGAGAGAGCACATGAGAGGGGGGAGGGTCAGAGGGAGAAGCAGACTCCCTGCCGAGCAGGGAGCCCGATGCGGGACTCGATCCCGGGACTCCAGGATCATGACCTGAGCCGAAGGCAGTCGCTTAACCGACTGAGCCACCCAGGGGCCCCGAGGAAAATGATTCTTGTTCTAAGCCACTAAGTGTTGGGGTGGCTTGTTACACAGCAATAGATAACAGGGACAGACACCATGGAGAGGCTATAAGGTGGCTTCAGTGAAGTTACACATGTAAAAGCAGGTATATTATCTGTATTAGTAATTGTTTCTTGGTTTTGTTTTTGTTTTTTTAGCGTAGGGGAGGAGCAGAGGGAGAGGTAGAATCTTAAGCAGACTCCAAGCCCAGCACGGAGATCATGACCTGAGCCGAAATCAAGAGTTGGACACTTAACCAACTGAGCCACCCAGGCACCCCTGTATTAAGAATTGTTAATGAGCATATTACAAAGATAATTGCAAAGCACACTCATCAAAAAACTCTTAGTAAAATATAGCTATGGTATTGCACCATTTAGTGTACATACACTGAGGGATCAATTGAAAAGATAAGTGAGGGGCGCCTGGCTGGCTCAGTCAGAAGAGCAGGCGACTCTTGGTCTCGGGGTTGAGTTTGAGCCCCACATTGAATGTAAATGGTACTTAAATAAATAAGTACTTTCTAAAAAATTATTTAAAGAAAAATGAAAGTAAGAAAAGCATGAGCAAGTTAAAGAAAAGAAGAGAGCGCATGAAGACTCAACATTTGTTCTGTGGTTGCCTGAAATTAACTGGAGGAAACTCGGGAGTCTGATGGCTGTCTTTGCCTCCAGAAACCCACAAGCAGCTTGCTAACTCCTGTACATGTGTGCAAGTCAACAAGACAAACCAGTATTTCACTGAGATCAAACACTGCACTTGAAAGGGATTTTCAACCCAACACAACACAACTGGCCCAACACAACATTTTTGATAAAAAGACTTCCCATCTTTGTCAGACATGAATTGATCAAGAAGTCATATGGAAGGATTATTGGACTTGAAGGAAAGGGTCCTTAGTACCAGCATGTTTGTGGTCCACATGCCTTCCTCTGGAGAACCCACTCAGTGTTCACCCAACTCTATGGGACCACCCACCACGGGCCAGACACATAATGCAGACTGGCCAATCGGAGAATGAGCCACAGTTGGGCATGTGACCCAAACAGAGCCAATCAGAGCCTTGTCTGAGGCTCCACGTAGGGACACTAGGAGGGAGAGGGACTTTCCTATTCTCAGACTGTAAACCCAAAGCTGGACTTCTTGTGGCTATCTTTCCCACCACATAGGGAATGAAACCAACATGCTGAGGAAAGCAAAACAAGTGAAAGAAAGCCCATGAGCTCTGCAACATTATTGGAGCCCTGATCCCCCTGTGCCCAAGCTCCTGAACGTGCCAGTTATATGAGCTAAGAAGTCCCTTTTCATGAGCGGGTTTGAGTTGGTTCCTGGAGTCGCCAAAGGGTCTTGGTCTTGTCATGAGAAGAATTCAAGGACAAACACTCAGCACAGCGAACCAGCAACACAAACAGGAAAGTTCATTACAACACTCTTGATGGCACAGAGGTATTTTGTTGGAGGAAAAATATGGACATTGATGTCCATGAATCAAGAAGTGATTCAAAAGAATTGGATTCTGAATGTGTGAAGTTTAGAAATTTCTTATTAGGGTCACCTGGGTGGCTCAGTCGGTTGGGCATCTGCCTTCGGC